TAAAAAATGTGGAGGCTTCCGCGGTTGCACAGATTTATGCAGGCTGTGGGGCCTAGCTCTTACTCTGTAAGTATCTGCTTACTTCAGATGTGTCAGAATTTACTGAACTGTGAGAATCCTGACAACATCTTGTTGGTTTTTTTCTGAAGACGCTTGCGTGTGTCTTATTGTTTCATGAAGTCTGGGGGCTACCTGAGGTTCCCCAGTTTTTTTTTTCTGAAGACGCTTGTGTGTGTCTTACTGTTTCATGAAGTCTGGGGGCTACCTGAGGTTCCCCAGTGAGTACTGCCCCTCGTACAGCCGCGTCACCCCTCGATGGCTGTGCTCTGCTTGCAGGTGAGCGGCCCTACTGCTGTGACCAGTGTGGGAAGCAGTTCACCCAGCTGAACGCGCTGCAGCGGCACCACCGCATACACACCGGGGAGAAGCCCTTCATGTGCAACGCCTGTGGGAGAACTTTCACTGACAAGTCTACCCTCAGGAGGCACACTTCGGTAAGAACCTCTCATCCCCTAGCTCTAGAGCCTTCCTCCCTGGCTGTGTGCTGAGCTGGCAGCTTTTTTTTAGGCCTTTTACAGAATCACAGAATCTTCTAGGTTGGAAGGGACCTTAAAAATCATCTTGTCCAACCGTCAGCCTAACTGACAAAAATAGACACCCACACAACAAACCAACCAGACCTCCCAGCACTACATCAACCCGGCTTTTGAACACCTCCAGGGATGGGGCCTCAACCCCCTCCCTGGGCAGCCCATTCCAATGCTTGAGAACCCTTTCAGTGAAAAACTTTTTCCCATTATCCAGCCTGAACCTGCTCTGGCGCAACTTGAGGCCATTTCCTCTCGTCCTGTCGCCTGTGACTTGGGAGAAGAGACCGACCCCCCCCTCTCTACACCCTCCTTTCAGGGAGTTGTAGAGAGCAATAAGGTCTCCCCTCAGCCTCCTCTTCTCCAGGCTGAATAACCCCAGTTCCCTCAGGACCTCTGTCCAATTTTGGTTGGGTTGGGTGCCTTGCCCTCTCTCTGACATAGCATTCCAATACTCAGATGGTTTGCATTCAGCCCTGAGTCTGCAGTGAGGCCATTCTTAGTCCATTGGAGCCCAGCCCACAGAGGTTATGCTGAGGACTGTTCAGTCACAGGTTTGTTCTGTCACCTCTGACCGTGCTCCCCGTGCAGGAGAATTCACATTCTGGGCCAGGCTCTCTGCTGGACCAGTTAGATACTGTATGAAATCAGGACGCTCACCAGGGACACAGATCAGTGCGTGGATCTATACTGACCTTGTTTTGGGATAGCTGTGTGAGATGAAAAGAGAGACCTTTTCTACCAGCGTCGGGTAGGAGCTGGATCCAAGCTTTTGCCTCCCAGACAGTCGTCATGTGTTCAGCCTTCTGGTTTTGGGTGGGTTTTTTTTTCAGATACATGATAAAAACACACCCTGGAAGTCCTTCCTTGTCGTTGTTGAAGGAGCATCTAAGAATGGCGAAGGTCACAAAACCGAGCTCCCTGATGAAGAATATGATGTGTCACCTAAGATACCAGAGAAGCTGCTGTCTTTCTCTGAAAACGGCCACTATCAGAACCTGACTGCTGTCCCGGGGAGCGTGACTGCGCTGCACGACACCGGCTCTGCCTCGGGAACAGACTGTAAGTCAGATGGGACTCCAGGGCCCGAGGAAGCCCTGATAGCTACCACTCTGAGTGAGCTGACAGTGCTCCAGACACAGACAGACTCTATTCAGCCACAGCTTCATGCTCTGGTCAATATGGAGTAATTGGGTATTTACAAGTCCGGTTTAAGCTGCACCCCTTGTATAGTCCTTTGACTTTGCCAATAACCTGCTGAGGGAACTAGGAGAAGCTATAACAAGGAAGCAGGGCTAGATACTAAAGACATGGCCCTGCGTTTCCAGAATTTCCTAAAAAAAAATTCATTATCCACCTCCAATGTGCACAGCTCCATTTCCTGGTGGTAGTAGGGCAGAGTGCCAGCACAGCAGCACGGTGGCAGAGGAGGCAGAAGTGCTAGTAAGTTTATTCCCTGCAACCCAAAGGGTGTAGCTCAGGCTGATGGCTCCAGCTGGTGCAGTGCCAGCGAGGACCTGCGTTCAGAGAGGTCACAAAGAAGGTGCAAATTTGATTTGCAGTTGATTGATGACACACGTACAATCAAGAGAAATGATGTTGTGTTTCTCAGCTTAGTAGCATAGTGAAATTTATTGCATTTTCCCTAGTGGAAATTCACACATTACAAAAAAAATATTTACTAAATTTCTTTTCAGGAACTGTTGGTTTATCTCTGTTTCTAGTAGTGTAGTGAAACTTACTGTATTTTCCCTAGTGGAAATTCACACATTTAAAAAAAAAAAAAATTACTAAATTGCTTTTCAGGAACTGTTGGTTTATCTCTGTTTTTGCCAAAGATCCAGGCAGTGAGCAAGCTCACTCCTTCGCAGTATAAGTGGGAGCAAGCTTAGGAAAGATCAGGAGTTTCATTCCAGGAGTTTTGATTCTGTAGTTGCAAAATGGGCAAGTGGGAGCCACGTGCTGTGTCTGTACAGGTGGTGGTATTATTTAGACATTTCAGTGAAACCTGGTGCAGTTTTGACACTTGTATTCGGTTTTCATCTTCTAGCTGCTCAGCTTACACCTTGGCAATTAGGAGACTAAAACGTTTCTTGTACAAATGTCTATGAAAAATCTATGAAAAATCAGCTATGCTGGAAAAGCCAGCGTAGAAAGACAGCTTCTTGCCAGTTTCCTGTTCACTTTTCTCTAAGCTGTTCTCTGCTGGTCCAGATAGGTCAGCGATGCTCTTTTCTCCACCGTAACTCAAACACTGCTGTTGCTCTGAACTGCAAGACCTACTTCTAAATTAACTAATACTCTGGTGGGAAAAGTTAATTACTGGTTTGCTGTGGAGTTGCTACAGCTAATCCCACCAGTAGCACAAGAGTCTCCAGAGGTAAATTCAGTTACAAACAGGAGGCAGTCTAGGTTCATATGATTAATGGCATAAAAAGATGCAAATAAGTGAAAAATACACTGGACTGTTCAAGGGATTTTAGCCTTCATTTCCCAGATTGTGGATACTTTGTACTAATGGCATAAAAAGATGGAAATAAGTGAAAAATATACTGGACTATTCCAGGGATTTATCCTTCATTTCCCAGATTGTGGATACTTTGTAAGACTCTGTTGGAATCTGCACAGCAGTTTTAGGCTGGTGTCTGTTTAACTGTCCTCAGTGAGGTGTTAAGAGGCAGGCCTTAAGAACATAAGTGAGGAATAAACTTACAGTTCAAAGGTTTTTCCTGATTAGCATCTGCTGCTAAATTTTAGTGGAGTAACCCTGGCAATGTGCTTTTTTGGGTTTGTTCTAAATAACGAAATGTGACAAAGTGAGCAGAGGGACCAAGGGTCCCAAGTATGGCTTCTGTTCAGCCCACACTCCCAAACTGCAACTTCACACAGCCCACTCCAGTGCCCACTGGGTTTGGATCCCAGGGCCCCCAGTCACTACGAGAATCATGCTTCTGTTTGGGCTTTTCTTACCAAAATAGACAGAGCTTTCCTTTATATCTCCTTCCCTTCCCCTCATTCTCACACCCAGTAGCCGGGAAGGCTGTTGCACAGGGAAACCTGAATTTCTGTCCAGGGTAAGCATTTTTGGAATTTCCTGAAGCTCAGGCACTTCTGCTAACAGCAAAGCTGAGCTGGAAAGAGAGTTACTTTGGTCACCTTCAGATTAATCTCCCTGGAACACTCGGGAGGGTTTGGGGTATTTTCCCTTTGCAGGGAAGGAACCTTTGAAGTAGCTGGCACTGGCAAAGAAAGACCAGGCAGGGCTGACCTGTGGGTTTGGGAGCAGCTGTGCATCGACAGCAACTTGCTGATGTGGTTAACTCTTCAAACTCAGGACCAGATTCACAGTGCCACTATGTAAAAACCTGGAGCTCTTCTAATGAATTGTTCTGGTTTGCTTTTCTGTTTCTCTGATCTAGTATTTCCACAGAAACTTTCTCAGCTGAAGTGGTAAGAAAAACTTTCTGAAAGATTGCATTAGTGTAAGGGTAAGCACAATCAAGCCTTGTTAGGGCCCGTTCTAAGGCTTAGTGGTTGGCAAAGCAATAAAGATACCCAAACTGTGGCACAGAGCTATTTTTGAACCTTAAAGGGATGTCTGATGTGTTACCATGGAATCATAACTTAATCTATAGAAAGGGAATTTTTTTAAAAGAAAACATTTCCAAGAAGTTATATTTGAAATATTTATTCACGCACTCTGTTCCTGTCGAAGCTCAGTATTCCCCATGACCAATGTAAAGAGTTTGTAGATATATTTAAAGTCTGAGCACTAGTACCTGTAGCCAGGGAAGCTTTTGTACTCCATGAATGTGTGGAAGTGAGTTACCCATATGAACTGTTCTTATTAAAATATTGAAGTCTTAAGACTGACCCTTCCAGTGACTTGGTTATTATAATCAAACGTTTCTGTGCCTTCCACGTTCTGCTGGGCACGTGCTGAGACTCCTTCACGTGTAGGTCCTAACCCAGCTCTGCTGCAGGCCTGGAGCTGTTGGGTGCCACTCTTCTTCCTCGGGCCCTGCAAGAGAGGCTCTGGTGCCACAGAGTGACAACCCAGCCCCGTGACAGCCTGGGCTGCACCTCATCCTTCCAGGAGTCAGGAATGGTTTCTTAGGTAGGCATGAGGAAACACCCCTGAAAAGGTAGGAAGTGTAACACTTCAGGACATTGCAGTTTCCTTCAGATGACACACTGTACAACAAGCAGCGTGTGGGGCAGGGACTGGCCCCAGATCAGCCAGTGCTCTCCTGTACAAGAATTCACCCCTAGTGTGTACCTTACCAGGTCCCCAGAGTGACTGAAGGAAGGGCTGTGCCTGCTGGCTTTTACCATCACAGCCCCTGGCTTTATGTCAGGCTCCAGCTTTAGCCTGCCTTTTGTCTTTTTCCAGGAAAGAACACTTATCACTACTTAAATTCATTATTTTCACTTTATTAATGTACAGATTCACGCAAAACATTATATTCTTGCTAAGGCCATTTCAGTAATAAGTTTTCATAGTACAGAGTTGTGTACTGGGGGGGGGGAAATACAGCGGAGTGGCAGATTGTCATTTTAAAACAGTCACAATTTACCACTGATACACTGGAGGACATGCTGTAGCATATTTATAAAAGAATTAACATTTGTATTTTATTAATATCGATCCAGAGCATAGTAACAGACCACACAGCCCCATGGGTACGGTCTTCTGCTCCACCAGCTCCATCTGCATCTTAGCACAATTGTGCAGAATACTGACAACTGGAAAAGTCAACAAAAAAAAAAAAAAAAAAGGCATAAAATACTTCCCCTGTGCTTCCCCTGACCAAGGCTCCAAAGGTGTTGGACATAAGACAAAGCCATCAATACAATGGGTCTTTGCTTGCTAAGGAAACGGGTAAATTAAACAAAAACTGTTCCAACCCTATCCTTTTAGCACAGGTGAGATCAGCAGAAGTTACATCTTTGGGCCCTCTTGTCCAAAATGAAAGCAGCTTTGCAGCTCATCCAACTTCAGCAATAAGAATACCTCCCTACCCTGGGAGCTGCGCCCCAAACCCAGTGTTTCCTCTGCCCCGGGGAGGTGGCACAGGCACACGAAGGACCCTGGCACAGGAACAGGACACCCACGGAAAGCATCAGTCAGTCAGCTGAGGTGTGCACCCATCTCAGAGCCTCTCAGGTGGACACAGACCAGAACCATGAGCTAAACTGAATTTAAAGCATTTCTCTGCCAAGTTTGTGGTAAGACATACAGAAGACACGGTGATCTAAGTGAAAGGGATAGTTTTGTTGTGGACAGAGACTGAACACGAGCAGGAGCCTTAAAAACACATCTGAGAAGTGAAGAAACTGAAGTTGTTTGGAAGAACGAGTATCATCCATCCAGGCTTTCCTAATGTGTCCACCTTGTTGGTTCTGCACAGCTTTTCTTTCCAGTTACAATGCATAGACTAGTCTATGGAAAACAAGTGACTGGTCTGATCAGTCAGAGGGAAAAAAAATAATTAATTTGGCATGTAAAAGGAGCATATTTTGCTTTTCTTTTTCATCAGCCAGCGGTAGAGATAAAGCACAGCTTCAACAGAACTAAACCCCTCAGACTAACGAGCCCAACTGCGTTTGACTGGAATATCTAGATGAGAAACAAACTGGGGAGATGCAGCAGAGGCAACGCTTTGGTTGGCAGAGCCAATTGCTTCATCAAGAGAAACAAGGGGCTGACTCCAGGCTGGAGCTGCCTGCTGGGGGCTGCTGTGCTCGTCCCACTCTGGCTATGGAAAAGGGCCTGCTTGGCACAATTGCTGTTGAAATAAAGCCTTTAATTAATTACTCTTTCACTCTTTTACACAGCAGTAGTGCAGCTGCAAATCACTGCGTTACGGAGAAATACTGCTAACTCCCACTGAGGAATTGCATAGGCTGCCACGGCCTCCTTAACGTATAGACAGGACCTCGTGGGCAGGCAGACAGCTTCATCAGCTCTGGTTAAACAAAGCGCTGCACTGAAGAGCTTTGGGTGCAGACGTTTTTAAAACACGTTTCTAAAATTACCGCAGGGGTTTTTAAATGCGTCTACAGCTTTTCAAAGCGAGCTCAATTCACCTGTCATCCAGCTAATTAACTAACTAAAACAAGGTTTCTGTATAATAAAAGGTCTCAGTCAACACCTTCGTACGTCACGAGACCGAGGGGGCTTCGCCGGCAGCAGGAGGGGCAGAAAGGAAGGGACGTTGCCCAGCACACACCAGAGACAGCAGCGGGGATTCATGGAAATGAAAAGTTAGAAAAATAGATCATTACTTGGGCCAAAGTCATCTGGGGGGTAGGAGGGATGGGATGCACCACAAAATAAAGGAAGTGGAAAAATAGATCCAAGAAAATATAGAAGAACCTTACATTTTATATAGATCTGAAATACAAAATACACCATTAACTACTTGCCACGAGCACTTGGAGGGTGAGTCCAGTCTAAGCAGTCCTGTCCCCTAACGTGTGGTGCTTGCAGCACTAGGTCATTGTGTGTTCTGTGCATACACTGCACACACGTATCTGTGCAGGATGTATACACACACACATGCACACCCTATATGGGTCACAAAGCCTTTCACTAGCACCATGAAAACCGCTCCATCATTCAAAAGAAAAAACCAGGTCCCAGTGTATCTGACAGAGGTCCATTGAGAAACAGAAAAGAGCAGTCATACAGCAACAGATCAGAAGCAGTTATTTGTACTCTACTGGCGTAGACAAAATATTTCCATGCTGGAATCAGTGGGACTGAGCCTTAAGACAGAGCAGCGGGGAAAAAACAGCAGTGGGAAGTGCAGACTTTGGGTTCACAGCTACCAAAACCAAGGAAGGATTTCTGCCAGAAGTGCTTCTTTCGCCTCCAAAAGACCTGCCAGTGTTACCCAGAGCATCGCTTCTTATCTACCCAGGTTGTCACGACAAAGAGCAGGATACTAAAGAAATACACAAGTCATTGTATTCGGAAGCAACAAAATAAAGCTAGATATTTTATCACGTATCCCACAGTGGTCCTTGGCTGTAACACAAGAACAGATTACTTAGGCTGCATGCCACAAATACCACGAACAATTCACTTCAGGTCCCCGTCTCCTTCTCCTTGGATGGACTTTTTGATGCGAAGCAGCATGGTTGTCAGCCACTGATCCAACCGTGATATTGAATCGAATTCTTTAACCTATTAGGAAGAAATGGTTTAAATTTAAGATACTAGGAAGCAGCCAGGACTGCTGCAGAAGCAGCACTCTGCAGCTCTTGAAGTATGGTCTTTTAAAACTTCTAGTCTTCCCAGAAGCAGTAAAATAAAATAAAAAGATATCTGTCCAAAACTACACAGAGCACTTTACGCCACTGTCAAAAGAGAGAGAAGTTGGAGCAAAACCAGGCAGGATCTTTACTTGCCTCTCAATGACAAACTAGTAATTTTAAAGAATTCAGTCTGGGACTTGCTAGAGCCCGGGCTGGAGTTCTGCTCATGACCATCTCTCCTGCGGGTTGGCCCATGGCAGGATGGGGAACCAGTGAAGCTCCAGGTGTTTTGCCCCCGTGGACTTGGCAGCAACACTCAGAGCTTGGGCGACCAGTTACCCAGCCTTTAACAGCACACACACCCCAAAAAAAATGAGAAAAAAGGAGCAGCCAGCCAGCCACGAGCACACCTTAGCGAACTGGTGACTACTTACTGCCTCGGTGTATGCCTCAGAGTTCTGCTCCTCGTGGGCTTCCAGCAGTTTCTAGGAAAACACCATGAAAAATTAGAAAATACTCTTATACTGCAAGTTCCCGGCGTATCCCGGGCGTCTTGTCCCCAGGAGAGAGGGCGAGCTCCTCTGCAGCCACCCTGCAGGGCACCCGGGTGTTCAGCAGTGCCACCTTCACGACCCGTTTGAACCACCCACCATGAACACAGAAATAGTTTGGGTTGGTTTGGGGGTTTGTCTTTTTTTTAAGTTAGCTAAAATAATCATCGTTCTGCTGCAGCTACTTTCATAGGTCTGGTATAAACCCAATGCAAAGTGAGTCTGATGTCCTCTAAAACATTGGAATAAACGGGCAAACCTCTAGCAAGGTGAAAAAGCCCAAAGGAAAGGGCAGTAAGCATTTTCAAGCGTGACTGTTCTCTTACTACTGGCTGCACTCACTTTCAATAGCTTGCACTCCCGTGAGTCTGTGAACGCCGGGAACATTTCTTCGTATTTTTCAAGTGCAAGCTGAAAGAGAGAAGATGCGCCTTACGCTCATTTCAGACAAAACCACTCGCTTTTTATTTCAGTTTTCGCCTTCCTAAAGCCACACTTGGGAAAGCATTCACAGTAAAATCCAGCTGGACAAGCTTCAGCCCGTGCAGCTGCCCTGCAAAGGCCTGTGCAGGCAGGAGGTGTCTCGGGCAGCACAGGGTGATGAAGAAGGACATGGAAAAGTTTGGGATCAGCACTCCGAGCCCACTCACCTTGGCGTTCAGCTCGTCCACGATGAAGTGGCACAGAGCAGCTTTGAAGAAATACTCTTTGGCGCTGTACTTCAGCAAAGGGTTATCCATCGTGTTTGTCCCAACCTGGGCACAAAAAAAAAAAAAAAGCTATTGTTAGAGTTGGGGAAGAAAAACCGCATCGTTAAGAACCGAATTAAAAACAGGACAGCTGATTAAAATGACACACAGCGCCATAATGCGAATGAAGCCGACAGAAGAAATGCCAGTGTCCGTACAAAAAGCTTTTGGGGAGCCAGATGGATTTTTAATGAATCCCAAGTGGGTCAGAAACCCTCGGGCAGCCCTTCTTCCCAGGGAGCTGCTGCCCCAGTTCAGGGGCACCGCACCGGCACCTGGCTGTGTCCTGTCTGATGCAGAAAGGGGAAAATGAGTCAACTGGGTGAAAACCTCCTCTGATATTTACCCTCCAGAAACAGAAAAGCAGCACTGCAAGTATTCCCGTGTAAACACCCAGTACAAAGGCAGATCAAGTTTACAAATTTGGGGGGGGCATACTTTCTGCCAGACATCTGAAAATACGATCAAAAGTGTAATAATACATTTCGTTCCCCAGCCTTTCTCTAGAAACAAGAGAATTCAGGGGGAAAAAAATGCCTTTGGTAAGTTAAAGCAACTCTTTAAAAGTCAGGAGCAAACCACACCTCATAAAGGCATAACCAGCCCCAAAAATAACAAAGAGTAGGAGCTTCTATAGCCTATACATTTATATATTTATAATATAATTGCTTCTATAGCAATTTTGCGGGACTGACCCACTTTCTCTTTTCAAGCAATGTTTTCCCCGTTGGCTGAAGGGGCAGGATCCTCACCTGCTCGTAGATCTCTATGGCCTTCTGGTACTGCTCCAGCTGCGCGGCGTAGGCGGCCACCTTCAGCAGACACTTGTTGGCTGAGCTGCAACGGATGAGAGCATGGAAGTCATAAATAACTGTGTCCTGGGGACACACGGATCCGTGCCCCGGTACCTCCAAACACTACCTCTACTACTTGGCGTACGTGAAAGTGGGACCCAAAAAGCTATAAATTAAGGGAATTTTCTTTTTAACAGCCAAAATGAAAACACAGGGGAAGGCATGAAGAGCAACTCAGCACAGCTCTGGAGTCAGACACTGTTCCACTGCTTGGTGCCTTCTCTGGTGGGCACCCCAAACCAGACACGGCTGCATGCAGGATGGAACCCCAAACAGAAATCTGCCTGAGGAGGACCTGGGCGTCCCACCAAAGGAGATCTCAGAACAGGCTGGCAGATGAGGGGTGCGAGCATGTGGGCCACCCAGGAGGAATCCCCATCTCCAACCCTTCCCCCTTGTGACTCTTCTACAGCGAGCACTTGCCTGTTGGACTCCTCTCCTTTGTAATAGTCCGCAGCCTGCTCGTAGTGCGCGATGGCCTGGGGACAGAAACATCGTGCTGGAACGCCACTTCTGAAGCACAGTTTTTGGTCAGACCAGCAGCCAGTGACCATGTTCCCAAAATCTTTCCCATCCCACGCCCAGAGGGAGCAGCCCCGCAGCAGACCGCGGGGTTTGCAGCGGAGGGGAGCGCAGCCACACACCCCCCTGCACCCACAGGGCACGAGGCTGCCCTTGGAAATTTGACCCTGAACTTGGGAAGGGTCCCAGACTCCGGTGCAGATTTAATGCAGGTGACACTACTCCCGTAACGCCTGTGATTGCTCATCATCAGGGTGTGACGAGGCTTCTGCCAGCTTTGCCACTATAGAATATATCTCTGGGCATGGCAGGGCGTGATTTACATGTCACCTCCCTACGAGCAGCCCCACGAAGTCATGAACAGAGACAGATGGGATCCAACAACGTGGAGCTGAGGAAGCAAATGGTTGTCTAAATAATAATATTTAGAAACCACGTGGTTTTTTTGTTCTGCAAACTTCAAGCAAATTTGCAGCCAGCGGAGCTGCTGCAGGATTCCTGCTCGGGGCCCTGGCCTGTGGGAACGAGAGGGTCAGCGCCGAAATGGGAACCAAAATTCAGCAGCTTCCTTCGGGTGTCTCAGAAAATAACTACAGAAACTGCCCCACGGCTCTCCCCAAAGTGCTTTTCAGATGTGGAAAAGCCACCGCATGGGTCAGGGTTTCTCAGGGGGGCGTTTTGCCAGCCCTGCTGCTCTGCGGAGCGACACCCCGATGGGTCAGGGGATGGCTGGGGAAACCATCCTGCACCCCGGTAACGCTCACTTCAAGTTACGGGGTGACTCACACCTACATCAAACAGCCTGGTGCTGGATGGGAGACAGGTTTTTACCAGTCCAGCAGGTCCAGAGAGGTAATTCTTCCACTTTGCTCTGGTGAGACCTCACCTGGAGTATTGCGGTGCTGGATGGGAGACAGGTTTTACCAGCAGGTCCAGAGAGGTAATTCTTCCACTTTGCTCTGGTGAGACCTCACCTGGAGTATTGTGTGCAGGGCTGGAGCCCTCAGTATAAGAAGGGCATGGCCCTGATGGAGAGGGTCCAGAGGAGGGCCACAAGGATGATCAGGGGGATGGAGCACCTCTGCTACGAGGACAGGCTGAGGGAGCTGGGGTTGTTCAGCCTGGAGAAGAGGAAGTTCCGGAGAGACCTAATAGCAGCCTTCCAGTACCTGAAGGGGCCTACAGGAAGGCTGGGGAGAGCCTGTTTACAAAGGCCTGCAGTGACAGGACGAGGGGAAATGGCTTCAAGCTGGAGGGGAACAGCTTTAGACTGGAGATGAGGAGAGGGTTCTTCACTGGGAGGGTGGTGGAGCACTGGAACAGGTTGCCCAGGGAGGTGGTTGAGGCCCCTTCCCTGGAGATATTCAAGGAGAGGCTCGACGAGGCCCTGGGCAACCTGGTCTAGTTGGGGGTGTCCCTGCTGACTGCGGGGAGGTCGGACTAGATGGCCTTTGGAGGTCCCTTCCGGCCTGGACAACTCTATGACTCTATGAGTTGGGTGCTGCCCTGGCCGGGGAAGGGAACACGGCCACCACAGCACCCGCAGAGCAGCACCAGCAGCACCCAGCACCAGCAGCACCCAGCACCCTCACCTTCTCGATGTCCACCAGCTCAGCCTCGTAGATCTCCGCAATGGTGATGTGGTGCTTGGCAGCGATGGTGAACCGCCCCTGGAGAAGACAGAGGGTGAAGGTGAGCTGGGAGCTCCCCCCCTCCACCCGGCACACACAGAGCTGCATCTCTTACAAGCACATCGGTCCACGAGCTGCCAGAGCAGCTTCTTACCATGTCGGTGTAGATATCGATAGCTGCATTTAAGCAGTTGATGGCCTCTGCAGCATGAGTGTTCAGGAAAAACAACAAAGTCAGCCAGCACATCAGACTTCCCAGCCCAAGACCTTCCTCTTCTCCCCCTCCTCCCCCCCGCAATCAGATCTCAATAACATTCATCAGACCATGAACCAGCTTCTTCAATAAATACCTACTCACACGCGTGTGTAAATACATCGGGAACAACCAACAGAACATTTTCAACACCTCAGACCTACGGATGTCACATTTCCCTGCGATTTTGCATCTGCAGATGTAATTCTTTCCCCCACCCCAAACAGCCTGTGTCCCACCAACAGCCTGTTGGTTCACCTGGGCAGAAACCCTGACACTGAAAGGTAACAGTCAAAAATTAGGGTGGGCGAAATATAAACAGCTTGTACCCCACGTTTGCCGGGCTGCATCCTCAAACAGCAAAATTCAAAATGCTGATGTCATAAACACGCAGAGGCTGCCGTTTTCTAGGAAATTATGGGGTCTGGCAATTATCAAACAGTGTTATCTGCCCAGAGTTAGCTTCTTCAGCCCCCCGGCACAGGAAAGCGTGGGCAGCACTGGCGGGTTGGTTGGTGTGTTTCCAAACACTCAGCTGGAGTAAGGGGAGTCCCAGGTCTTCCACAAAACCACAACCCTGCTCTGTGCGACCAGATGTGAAGAATCCAGATCCTTTATCCTCATCCCATCAGACGTCAGTCCGTTTTCCTCCCACCTCTCCCCTGCCCCAGGGAAACCCCTGAGGGGGGTTGGGGCTAAGGGCAGGATCCCCCTGATCCAGACCTAAGACCTGCCTTAAGTGTCCCGTCAGAGGTGAGTACATCTCCAAAGCCAAGCCAAAGCAGGAAGGGAGCAACCCAGGGGCAGTGCCTCACAACCAAGGCACCGCAGCGTGTACCAGAGCACCAGAGATCACCTCGAGATGACACCCCTGCACACGACCATGATGGTGCATCACCTGAAGGGCTACTTCAGAAAAGCGGAGGTGCAGAAGATACTCTGGCTTTGGAGCAGCGTGTGGTGAGGACCCGCAGCCCCACAGAGCTGGCGGCGACCGAAAGGCTCCGCGCTCCACCTCCTCTGCCACTAAAGCAGCTTTGCAAGAAACAATCCCGGATTTCGCTCCCCTCACCTTGTGGATCTGCTTTTTTGTAAGCGTTCCCAGCGTCCACGAAGCTGGTGGCCGAGTCGTGTTTGCTCTGCAGCTGCATGTGCAGCTTGGCCGCCTGGCAGAAGGCGTTCCCTGCGGCTGGAAGAGAAGCACACACCGACCTCACGTCCCCCTCTGACCCGGCAACAAGCAGCATCGACACAGAACAGCAAAGCAGCGTCACTTCCCAGCCCCAGAGAGGCTGAGAGATGCAACAACCACCCCAAACCGTGTCCAGGAGGGGCTTGGTCTGCCAGGGGTTGAGCCCGTCCCCACAGGGCACAGTGGGGGCTTCTCACCTCCACACTCACCCCCGACAGCGTGGCTGCGCCCTGCACCTACTGGATCAGTGAGGGGGATCCCTTGGACCTCAAAATCCATTGGATTTGATGTCCCACCCCAAGGTATTTCCTTGCTGAAGGGCAAACACCTTCATCTGGCTTCCCTGCAGAGTGACAAGCCTTCAGTTTAAAACAGCTGACTGCACCCAGGCTAATTTAACCTCAGGAACCCCCCTTTGCCCACTCTCCCAACACTTAAGTCACCACAGAGCCGGGCAAAGCAGAGGAATTGCATCACCACAGGGACCATCCCCATGGAAACAGCCTGGGACGTAGGACTCTGCTGTGATAATTCCTGGGAAGATGGTCGGGCAGGGGTGGGTCACCCTGGCATCAGCCACTCTCCAGCAGAGCCCGCAGGGCAGGGACTGTACTCACCGCTCCAGTTCTTGGCGATCTTGAACATGTTGGCAGCCCTGGTGTACATCTCACAGGCTTCCTCCACCCTGGTGTTGCCCCTGAAAGGGAGACAGAGAGCCCCTGACACGGTGCTGGAACACAACGCTGCCCCTGAAGCAGGGACTGAGAGCAGAAATAGAGCTCGGGGTGTTGCAGCCCCATGTGTTAGGGCAACGTGTCCCCCCCACCACCCCTGGACTCGATGAGGTTGATCGACCTCATTTTAAAATGCAGAGTGAGCAGAGAATCACAGAATGGTTTGGGTTGGAAGGGACCTTGAAGATCATCTTGTTCCAACCCCCTGCCCTGGGCAGGGACACCTCCCACCAGACCAGGTTGCTCCAAGCCCCCTCCAGCCTGGCCTTGAACCCCTCCAGGGATGGGGCAGCCACAGCTTCCATCCCAGCATCACACTGCTCAGAGAGAGGAAGGCTGGGTTTGGGGGACCTGCAGCCCCCCACTCTCACAAGGCCCTCTCCCAGGGGGGACCAGCTCGGTGCCAACGCACAGTGAAGTGGGGGAGAAATGCTGTCAAAGCCGGATGGGATCCCCCAAGCCCCCCTGGGAGCAGGTGGAATTGGCAGGTGGGGAACACAAGCCCTCTCTGGAAAGGGGAGGCAGGTTGGTCACTGCATAAAGCAGGGAGAGGAGAGCAGACAAAACCCGCTCCCGAAATGGCAGCTTAGAGTTTTGGCAAGTTCCTGGAGAGTTTGGAGCTTGGAGCAAGCCCCCCTCTGCTCCGTGAGTTGGGTCTCTCCTTTTTGGGCAGGAGCAGTCAGTTCCTAAGGTGAGTCTCAGGAGATGCTCAGCAAAAACACCTGAGCTCTAGCACCCAACGAACGACTGCATCATTTAGTGAACATAAAGCAAATCAAAACCTCAGAGATGCCCGGCCCCCAGCTGTGTGTGTGACACACAGGGGTACACGCTCTCCAGCTCCCAACAAATAAACCTCATCATCCCAGCCCCGACTCACCGGGGGGTTCCTCACCTCCACACCCCCTGGGAGGGACCACAAGCAAGAGAACAACTCAACACAAGCCCAACTGGTGGGGTCTAGTAGCACTAACTCAGCTCCCCAAACCAGGTGATTAATTATTAACTTATCTCGAGAGAGGAGTTAAATATTTTAGTTCATTAAATGCAGATTTCTTGATAGACTTACTCCTACAAGCCCATTTCTGCCCTCTGGAGCACACACTCCTCCTGACCTCAGACAGGGCTGGAGCACAGGAGATGACAACATTTATTATTGCCTTTTTTTTTCTTTTTTTTTTTCCCTTCCTCCTCCTGGCAGCCGAGCGCGTTTCATTTCTAAGGACAGGCGATTTTTTTTTGGAACTGCTCCTTCTTGCTCTTGAAAGCTGCCTTTTGCCTGAACCGAAGCCAAAGGAGGCAGCGCGAGGGAACGCTACACCCGGCCAGGCGTCCAGGCCCAGGTGGCCTTCAGCCTTTTAGTCTCAGTTAAAAATAAAAATAAATAAAAAATAAATAAATAAAAAAAAGTAAAGGAGGACTTGTGCAAGCTAATGGATCTCTTCAGGAAAAAAAAAACTGGACTGTCAATAAGGCTTTTGGCCGAGCACCCCCCTTTCACCAGGAGGATGCCGAGAGCAAAGTCACCCACCACCTCCCCTTCCATTCTAAAAGCAATTTTTCTCGCATCTATTTTTAGCCCAAAAAAAACGAGAAATTTGCCTCTTGAAATCTCTGCCCGTTCGCTCCAAGGATTTTGGGCAATTCGCCGCCCGGATTACGCCCCTGGAGCACGCCCTTCCTGATTACTCTGCCGGAGGCTGGGGAGGAATTTATTTTTAAAACTTCTGCTTTTAGGGCCGCAGGCACTAGATTTTTCCAGGCTGTTGTTTGGAAACATCCAGGCCTCCGCGGGAGCAACGCTCCGGAAATGCTCTTTCCTTAAAAATTAAACAAAATAAATAAAAAGCTGAGATTGAGGCGGCCAAATCTGCTAGTTTTTCGACAGCACCGCTCTCGCACCCCCAGGAATATCTACTTTTACGCAAAAAAAAGAGCCAGTAAAAAGGAAGCTTGACCATCTTCCCGGGGGTACCGCTGCCCCCGGGGAGCCCGTCCCCCCCCGGGGGGGTCTGTGTGCGATGAGCCGAGGGCTCGGCACCCGGGGGCACCCTCGCTCCACGGGGCACAAAGTCACCCGTGAAACTCGGATCCCGAGGGGATTCCCAGCAGCGAGCCCCCCCTCCGCGGGGATAACGCCGGGGTGAGCGGAGCCGGGCCTGGGGACACCCCCCACCCCCCCCAAACGGGTTGAACACGGGGAGGGGGGCGCAGGGAGATGCCCTGAGCTGCAGAGGCCGGGCAGGCTCATCACACCGCTGGGCCCGTGACAGCTGCGGGAGCCCCCCCGCTGATACGATGGGGGGGGGGAGATGTGTTTCCCCCCCCCGTCCCCCCCCCACAGCAGAGGCGAAGGGAGACCCTCACCC